AGCAGTGAGGGGGTGGAGATTGGGACTGGGCAGGCTGTCAGGACCTGGGGAAAATGCTGCTGCATTCGCACGCTGGGAACCACCGTGTAAGTGGGGCTCAGCATCACCCCCATTGGCGCTTTATTGGGATGCCCCCCATGCAATAGCGGCTGTGGCACCGGGGCGCCTGCAAAGGCCCCGTTCTCTCATTCCTCCCCCAAAAAACCATCCCAAGCCCTGTCGCCAGTGGCACCATCTCCTGGCCTGGTCATTGTGCCAAGCTGCCAGCTGCTGCTGTGTGGGCCGGGATGGAGGAGAGGCGGCTGAACCTGCCTTCGAACTGGGCCCTTCGGAGAGGCCTGCCTGGGCTGGGTATAGCAACCTGTGACAAAGTGGGACTGTTCTTAATGTTTTCTCCGAATACTGTGTGGGTGCCTCAGTCTCCCCTTTGCCTTTCTTAAGTGTCTAGGCGGTGGGATCAGGGTGTGTGATTGTTGCAGAGCCCTAGAGGGCCAGTGTGATGGTGTCTGCACAGAGATGGCCAACACCCTGTCTCCTGGCCACTGATGGCCTGGGCCCCTCCCCTGCAAGGTGCCAACTGAAGGTGTTGGAGAACAAAGGGATCAGGTGGCCTCCTGGCCGGGGAAGAGACAAAGGCCAGAGGAGGGTCTGGAGGGGGCTTCAGTTTGGAGCTGTCTGGGGAGACGGAGGGAAGTCCAGCACCGGGGTCTGGTCTCCCTGCCCCCCAAGATGGACCTGATTGAGGGTCCTGGTTTCTGTATCTACAAGCTCTGTTTTATCCGTGTTCCTGTCATCTAATAACCCTTCTGTGTTACTGGCTGGCTGAGAGTCACGTCTGGCTGCGGAGTTGGGGTGCAGGGCCCTCTGGGTGCCCCAGGAGCCCACCCAGGCGGACTCACTGTGGGAAGCGCACAGAGGGGCAGAGGATGCTGAATGCTCTGAGGTCAGACCCGGGAAGGTGAAGCCGTGGAAGCGTCTTGCCCTGGAGCCAGTCTGCTCCGGGAGAGGAGGCTCCCCGAGAGTCCTGACCGGCTTCGTAGGGAGCAGTTGCAGAGCATCGCCCGGGGACTCTGTGACACAACCACTTTAGGACTGTACCCGCCCTGGGTCTCACCACCCCATTCCCTGCTGTACTCTGCATCCGCAGCTCCCACTGATTGCAATTTTTTTCTTCTTTGGACATCAACTCTTGCTGCCAGTCCCAGGGCAAAATCTATCTCATCTCTCCACCCCAAATCTGTCTATCCCATACCCCATCTCATCTGTCTATCCCGGCGGTACCCATTAATCGTGGTATCTGCGCTCCCGTTTGCTCGGTACCCTTCCCTCTTCCACAAGGCGGGTGGGGGTTATTTCATTGGTAGGGTGACCAGATGTCCCGATTTTATAGGGACAGTCCCGATTTTTGGGTCTTTTTCTTATATAGGCTCCTATTACCCCCCACCCCCTGTCCTGATTTTTCACACTTGCTGTCTGGTCACCCTATTTCATTGGTTGCTTTCGTAGCCGAAGGGAAGGCTTTTCTAGCTGGTTCTTCTGATCCCAAATCTAATCTCCCTGCCTCTTTCACTCCAGGTTTTTTGTAGTGTACCCCCGGGGGCCCCCCCGCCAGCGGTGGTGCTGGAGTGCCTTGAAATATTCGAAAGCAAACAAAGAACAACCTGGTCCCCTCTCTCTCCACCAGTCAGCGGGGCCTGGGATGGGGGCAGCGGGAACTGGACTGTACCAAGACAAAGCTCTGAGGTGAAGTGCAGAAGCTGCTAGAATTGGGAGCTCAGACCACCAGCTCCCTACGCAATTCCTGTTGTACTTAAAGTACCGCACAGGATCTTTTCAGGGGGAATAAGGCAAAACGCCACATTTATTAGTAATACATGTATTCATTAACACTGTATCATATGCATATAATATATTACACTTACACTCACACACACACACAAACACAAACACACTCCGTCTTGTTGTTACCAATTAGTTGCTCCCCTTAACTTCACTGGCCAGGTGAATTAGATGGGGGAGGGGGTGGAGCCGGGCTTCTGTCGATCCGGATCGATA